TGGACCTACAACCACCATCATAACTTCTTCTGAACCTACGACAGCCACCCTCACTTCAGGTGAGTCTGTGAGTATGACCTCTTCAACTGATCCTAGAACCCATTTGACTACAGGTACTTCAACTGAACTTATGACCACAGCAGAAATTGTTGTTTCTACTGAAGCTGAAAACACCACCATTACTACTGAACCTTCTACTATTAAAACTATGACAACCTCTTCAGTTGACATTACAACAAATGCAGTCAGTACCATCTCATTCACTGAACCTAAAAACGCTGCAACTTCTCCTGAACCTACTACACTTAGAGACATAATAACCACTTCAGCTGAAACTACAAACATCGTAACTCAAAATTCCACTTCTACCAAACTCTCAACCATAGCACCAGCTATCCTTGAACTGAACGTAAACCTCCCACCAATTCCACTGAGTCTGCAAACAAAACAGCCATGCCTGCTTAAACTAAATCTACAAATACCACTAGATGTATAGGTACAAAAGCGGGGACCAAAGCATCAACCACCTTTATAACCACTCAGCATTTTTTCAGAAGCTAAACAATGGCACTTCAACAGAATTTATAACACTTAAAATGAATCTACAACCCCCATAGCTTTAGCCACTTCAACTGAAGCTACATCCACAACAGGAGCCAACACTTAGCTGAACTTACAACCACCACTATTCTACTATCACAACAGCCATCACCACTGCTACTTTATGTCAGCTCTCTATAGCCAGTACTTGAAGTAAACCTGTAATTCACACAACTTTGAATTTACGACCACATCAGTCACTGCCACTTATTCTGTTAAACTCATCACTCACAATACAGCCACCTGAATGTCACGCATTCACTTTGCCCCCCATTTACCACTAACTCTAGTTAATTGCAAAGACAACAGCTAATATCCAGGTAACAAAGGCTAATTGAAGAGATTTAAAGTTATGCTTCCAATGACCAGGCTTCTCTGGAAACCATGGAAGCGGAATCAGTGAGGGGAACCATTGTTTTACAAATCAATGGACATTGATTTTGTCAATAGACATTGAAAATTTGTTGGAAAAAATTCGTTATTGAGACTGTCTTGGTCTGTTTAGGCTGCTGTAACAAAATACCATAGACTGGGTGGCTTATAAGCAATAGAAATTTATTTCTCTAGCTCTAGAGGCTGGGAAATTCAAGATCAAGGTGCTGGCAGATTCAACATTGAGTGAGGGCTTCCTGATTCATAGACAGTTATCTTTTCTCTGTGGCCTCACATGGCAGAAGGGGCAAGGCAGCTCTCTAGGCTCTCTTTTAAAAGGGCGCTAACCCTATTCATGAGGGCTCCACCTTCACCACATAATCACCTCCCAACAAACCCACCTCCAAACACATCACATCGGGGGTTAGGATTTAACATGTGAATTTCGGGGACCCAAATATTCATTCTCTAGCACAGATATACTGCAAAAATACTAGCCTTATTCAGACCTACAAATAATGGACTGCTACTTCTTATATGATTGCATCCTGGCAGGGGTAGGGAGGGAATATTTTACTTACCAAATAGCAAGAAAAGACATATATTTAAGCAAAACCTTCTAAAATAAATATTTCAATATTGACCATGCTAATTAGAAACATACACATGAGTTTACTTTCAAAAATGATAGTAAGATTTTCCTAGTTTGAGATATAGTAGGTGCTCAATAAATATCTGTTGCATGAATACCTGCCTACTTACTTGCCTACATAAACATATAAATAGGTAAATATTAATTGACTTGTGTATTAGTGTCCTATTACTGCTATACAATATACCAAAAATTTAGGGGCTTAGAACAACACAACTTTACTATCTTTAAAATAAAATAGAGACAATAAAAATTATCATCTCTGGGGAGATTCTATTTTCTTGTCTTGTCTAGCTTCTAGAAGATGCCTGCATTCCTTGGCTCATAGCCCCTTCTTTGTATCACTTTAACTTTGCTTTTGTCATCACATCTCCTTCTTTTATTTTGACTCTCCTGCTTCCCTCTTATAAGCACCTTTGCGCTTACATTTGGTTCATCTCATTAATTGAGGATAATCACCCCATCTCAAGATCCTTAACTTAATCACATTTGCCAAGTCTCTTTTACTATGTAGAGTATCATTGGGTTTAGGTTGTGTACATTTGGAGGGGGGAAGCATTGTTCAGGCTAACATTGTCCATGTGCTGGTCCCCAAAGATTCATATACATCCCACATATAAAGCACATTCACTCCATCTCAAGTCCCCCCCAAATCTCGATCCATTATAGCATCAACTCAAGTCCAAAATATTATCTAAGCTTCATGAGCTTAAAAGTTCCCAATTTCATCATATAAATCATCTTAAAATTAAGTATATGGACCAAGCTCTGTGTATAATCCATCCTGAGACAAAGTAGCTTTTCATCTGTAGACATATGAAGTTAGAAAACAAGTTGTCTGCTCCCAAAAGACAATGGTGAGAGAGACATAAGATAACATTTACAGATAGTCCCATTCGAAAAGGGAGAAAATAAAAGGAAAAAGTAGCCATTGGCTGCAAGCAATTTAGGGATCAAGCCAGGAAAACGCCCTTAGGTTTGGAGGTCTGGGAATAACCCTCCACCTACTGAGTCTGCAGTTTTACCCTTTTACTTGAAAGGCAGTCATTCTTCCTTTCTCTTGAAAAGCAGCATATATTTGAAGCTAAGTGGTGTTTTTAGCCTGTTTCCTGCCTGAAGAATTTTGAGAGTCCCAGAGACTTCTTTCGTTTCATTCTCTCTCTGTCCCTTGCATTAAAAGCTGGCAGTGTTTCTGCTGGTATAAAATTCTCAGGGATCTTCTGGGTCCCCTGTGTATGTCACTCCATTAGACAAGAGGCTCCTTCACAGATCCTTCCTGGAAAAATTTCATTCCTATTCCTGGCTGCTGCTGAGATGGCTGAGAGGATCCATAAATCACAAGCTTAATCTCTTCAGAGAGTCTTCTGTGGGATTGAATAGTCTGACATTTTATCCTTCCAAGGCACTGCTAAAAGGTTGTGGCTTTCTCGCTAGATCGTGCTTTCTTGACAGTGAATCTCCTATTTTCAGCATCTTTTGCAATCTGGATAGGCTGAGAATTTCCCAAATCATCGAGTCTTTGTTTCTTTGTGCTTAATAGTTCTTCCCTAAATTTATCTTTCCTCTTGCATTTTACTATAAATAGCAAGAATAAAGCAATCCACATCTTCAACATTTTCCTTGGAAATATCTTTAGCCAAATGTCCAAGTTCATTACTTATAAATCTGCTTTCCACATAACTGAATTGTGAAAGACAGCATTAAGCTAAGTTTATGCCACAACATAACAAGAATCTCATTTCCTCCAGTTTCCAAAAGCATGTTTCTCATTTTCTTCTGAGCCTTCACCAGCAGCATCTTTAACGTCCATATTTCTACCAATAGTCTGTTTATGATGATTTAAATATTCTCTAAGACAATATAGGTTTCCTCTACCATGCTCTTCACTTCCTTCTGAAACCTCAGTAGCAGAGTTATTAACATCCATATGTCTACTAATGGTCTGCTCAAGATAATCTAAGCTTTTTCTATCATGCTCCTCAAAATTTTCTGAAGTTCTTTTCATTGCTCAATTCCAAAGCCACTTCCACTTGTTTAAATATTTGTTATAACATCACCCCACCTCCAGGTCCCAAAATCTGTATTAGGTTTTTATTGCTACTGTAACTACCACAAACTTAGTGGCTTGACGCAACACAAATTTATTGAATTACAGTTCTGGAGGTTAGAAGTGCTGAATGGGTGAATCAACATATGGTTTCCTCACTCAATGATAAGTCAATACATATTCTTCTCAAGCTCACAGGGAACATATGCAAAAATTGATCATATACATAAAATAATTCTAAATAAATTTCAGAATTGGTATTATACAGATCATTTTCTCTCACCATGAACAATTAAGTTAGAAACCAGTTTTAAAAAGATAACTGGAAGAGCCCAAACACTGGTGAATATTAAAAACACTTCTAAATAATTTATAAGTCAAATAAAAATGACAGAAATTGGAAAATTCTAAGAATTTAATGATATTGAAAATGTTATAATAGCAAACCTTTTCGATGCAGATGAACTTGGAGGAAAATTTGTATTTTTTAATGTTTATATTGAAAAATAAAATGCTAAAAGCTAATGACTTAAGCATTGTCTTAAAATGATACAGGAAAACAGCATAAAGTCCAAGTGCAATTTTTTATTTTTATTTTTTCTCTCCTTTTTATAAACTATAACTTACACACAGTAAAGTATACAAACCTTGAATATATAGCCTAATAAATTTTTACACATATATGTATACGTCTAGATTAAGATATAAAACATTTCCATCATTTCAGAAACTTGCCTTATTCTGAATACTGGCACCCCTTTTCCCCAGAGGTAAACATTATTCTGAATTCTGTCACCATAGATTAGTTTTGCCTGTCCTTTATCTTCACATTAATGTCACCTCATGGTTCAGATGCTTTTGAACATGGCTTCTTTCACTCAACAAAACGTCTGTGTCATGTATCAGTGGGTGAGCCTACGTTTAGCTTTAATTATCCAAATATAATTTTCGCATTATTTTCCTGTTTAAAATGTTGCTGTTTGATCTACTATTTCTACATAAAATATCAGAAGTCTCATATTGTCATTTAACTCCAGTTTCCTGTAATTATTTGACATCATTTCTCTCTGTTCCTAAAATAACCTGCTGTACCCTTAGAGCTGTCTCCATCAATCTCTATCCTCCCTTTTAATGCTTTACCTCTTTCTGCTCTTCTACAGTGCCCTCCTTTTTCTCATCTGCTAGCCTTGCCCATCATGACCTTTAACATCTGGATCAGAACTTGACTGCTACATTCAGGGAGCAATTCAAATTATTTATTTGCTTTACTTTTTAATGGCCTTGATTCAGACCCACTTATTCTCAGCCCCATCTCACTGGCTTTGATTGAGCCTCCTTCAGGTCCTCCTCGCTCAATCCACTGAACCTCCCCCTCCCCACCTATAGCCCTAGTTCCCACCTCAGTTCCAGACCCAGCTATGACTGAGAAGGAGTTATATTTATCCCACCAGCATGATAAATCCTAAAATATGTCACTCGAGTCTTGTTGGTATTCATTATTGTTGTTTGGTCTTTATAACAGAGTTAATGTACTAAATGTCTTTCCCTGGCCCCTTCCCCCCATTGTTTTCCTCCTTAGCACAGAGTAATGCCTAGTCAATGGAAGGGGCACTCTAAAAATACCTTGGAATTCAAAAAGTATTTCATAAAGCTTCTATATCCCACCAGGTAAGTGGGAATAATAATTCTTCATGCATAATTAGAATTAGATTATGATCCCATGGTGCACCCATAGTAAATGTCACTATTAATGACAACTGCATCTTATCAGGGATGTTGTCCACTAAGGGCGATTGAGTGACATTTGATAATAAACAGAGTGATTCTTTCTCCTACCACTCACATGTTTTAAAAGAAATTTGAATATCAGACTTACGTAAAAGTCAACTGACCAATTTTAGCCTCTAAGAAATAATATTTTTAGAGTAAAAAAAAAACTATAGTATTTCTCCTTAAAAGCTTAAAAACTGTTATTTAGAAGAAAATATTTATTTTGTCTCTAGAAAAAAAGAAACAGGGGAAATCAGTTAAAGCTACAGGGAGGAACATTTCAACACAATATAAGGAAATGTTTTTGGAAATGAGTGTCATCAGAAAATAAAATGCCAAAATCCTAGAAAACTCATTAACTCTAGTCACTGGCACTGGGCACAAGAGTTTGAATGATACAGTTGGCCTTCATTCAATGGAGGACTGAATTATATCTAGGATCTTTAAAAACTTTTTTACATATAACCGTAAATTTATAAATAGTAAAACGATGTTATCCTTAATATACCAAAATATTAAAATTTAAACAAATTTTGAAAGTTATAATCTGAATTCCAATATGTCCTTTATTGGTGAGGTGACCATACATCCCAGTTTTCCTGGGACAGTCTTAGATTACACCGTTTGTATCAGAATAATATTAATAGTGAGTTTTTTCACCCTCAAAAGCGTCTTGGTTTAGATGGTAAAATACATGGTCACCCAATTTATAAACAAAGACTAGATTGTAAACTCCTTGATGGGAGGGATCTTCTCTATGTTATTTACTCTGCTCTGAACAGTAACTGGCACAAATTAGCTGCTCAATAAATTTTTGTTGAGTGAAATGAGTGTCTATTTTACAAATGAAAGGCAATATTCCCTTAATAAAAGCATATTTACCAAGTTTTAGATAAACATGGACTGGGGCTCTCAAGTAATTTCGAATTAGAAAAATCACTGAACTGCAACTGAACTTGTACTGAAATGTTGATTAACTTTCTATTTTGCTTGTACTACTAATTGTGGTACCACAGTGTTCCTTAAATAATTTTTAATTGGTTTTACTTCATTGGAAGAACATTCTCCTGTAGATACTAGGACCAGAACTGTGAAAACTAAAATTAAAATAAATTTGTTTTATAATAATCATTTATATTAATATAACATAGAATTGTAATAAATAGGATTTAAAAGAATTATATTTTATGCAATGCAATAATTGCACTGATATTGATTCTAATATTACTCATGAAAGTTTCTTTTGTATCTCCTTGTGACTTTTTCATAATGATATTCTTATACATTAGAACTATTTGTATTGTATAAGAACTTCAAATAACAACAGTAGTTAGCTTTTGAAATCTGATATCTGGCTAGTTAATTGCTATATCAAGTACATAGAAAATATGATGACTATAACAATCTCTTTGCTTAAGTGATTGCCAAGGATCAAAGAGCTTGAGCTGTCATACTGGTTCTCAGTGTAGCAATAGAGAAAAGGAGGGATGCATAGACATTTTAATTATCATCACGATGCTCATGGTCAAATTTCATCCACGAAAGTATATGATATGGGTAAATGGTTTTTTAAAAAGTCAGTGTTGACCCAGCATTTAAGACAATAGTGGTGTCCACTCTATTACTAGATGAATCTAAAACAGCACTCTGCTAACAAACTTGGCTAATAAAAACTCAAATATCAAAGCTCTCAATCACTCTGTTGTACAAGAAAAATATTTAGCTAATATTTTTGGCTAAAATGTCTGCTTAATTTAAAGAGATTTAATAGAAGAGTGTGAGAAATAGTAAGGTGTATCCATATACTTTTTGTACATATTCTAATCCAATTAGTTTGCCCTATTCAATACAAAATGCACAAGAAATGTGAGGTATTTTTTAAAAATCCAAATATCTGCATAATACAATACATGATTGTACACAATAACATGATTTTTAAGTGTTCAGTTTATATTTTCTTTGGTACTCTGTAAATAGGTCATTTAGGATTTTGAGAGTGGGAATTAAAAGTTTCTGCACAAGTGATAGAATGATGTACCACTCTCCAGGCTATTGGATAACACAGATGTACAATTGAATGTATGGAGTCTTATTTGTTCTGTGGTTATGTCACCCCAATTCCAAATTAAGATGTGTATCTCAGTATCGTAGTAAGGCAGTGTTTTAGGCTCCTCTTGAGTTTTGCTACGTGGAATTGGCCCAGGCTCCTTCTCACTTTGTCTCCTGTTGCTCCACCATCCTTAGGGTGTTGGCCTTCAATATATGGCCTGAGATTATGCACCACCTCATCTGCATTCCAGCAACCAAGAAGGGTTAAATGATTAACTTTGACATTGCAAACATAACTTAGGCTAATGTCCTATTATATAGAACTTAGTCATATGGTTGCACCTAGCATCAAAGGGGACCGGCAAATGCTGTCTTTATTCTGAGAGTCCATGTGCCCAACTGAAAATATGGGAGTTCTCTTACAATGAGAGTGAAGGAAAGAATGGTTACTTAGGACAACTTGTATTTTTGAAATATGTAGCCATATTTTAAAGAAAAGCCAGTTTAATTTCTATTCTATTTAAGGTTCATAAATTTTGTTGGCTATTGATAACAGACTGATTTTCGGTTGAATTAAATTCAATGTTCATGTTCGTTACTATAAAAACTTTCACATCACGTGGGCCCCTCATAATACCCTTGCCCAGAGGCCACAGTGGCTTCTCTGGCTTAATTTTATTGCGGGGCAGGCATCGTGTGTTCGTTGCTCCTTGGAACAAATACTTTCCTTGCTTTCTACAGATTTTTCATGCTCGTTATGTCCTAGAGCAGTTTCTCAGCCTTGGCACTATTAACATTTTGGGTTAAACAATTCTTTGTTATTATGGGTTGTACAGCATTGCTTGATGAGAGGTGTGTAGGTCTGTGCCTGGGATCCGAATCCATGAACCCTGGGCTGCTGAAGTGGAATCCCCAAACTTAACCACAACTTTACTGGGCTGGCCCCTAAACAATTCCTTAATGAATAAATTATTTTTTAAAATTAAGCATTTCTAAGTTTAATAAAAATTAGACTTATAAAACGTTGCTCTCTAAAGAGTGTTAAGGTGCATATCTCATTTACTGTGAACAATTTTCCTTTGAGATTTTCTCAGACATTGAGAATATCATTTAAGTTTCTGACTAACAACCTAACCTCAGACCCATTTCATTATTGTCTGAGATGAGAGTAGAAATCTTCACTTAAGAGCAATTGCCGTCTGGGACCTTCTCCAATTCTAGAACTTCAATCCTTGGTTTTCTTTGTTTTTTAAAGGACCTGTTATTGACAGCTACTGGGATGTTTACCTTCTAACTAATCTGTCATGAGATAGTCAGTGTGGAAAGGGCACTTGACTAAAAGGAGAGGCGTTCAACATGGAATTCGTCCTGCATAGGTTGTGTGATATTTCCTTCCTAGACTTAGATTCCTCATCTTGAATTTCGCTGTCAACTCTGTTAATGGTTAATTTTCTTTCTTTTCTTTTTTATTGAGGAATAATATCCATAGAGTAAAGTGCGTTAATCTGAAATGTACAGCTGGAGTATTTTTAATGTATTTGTACATATGTATAACTATCACCCAGATCAAGATACAGAACATTTGTGGTACCTTGTAAGATTCCTTCATGTCCCTTTCCTGTCAACTCCTCCACCATACTCCAGGATAAACAACCATTTTGACCTCTATCATCATCTGATTACTTTGGCCATTCTTGAACTTCCTATAATGGAATCATACATGTATCTGATTTCTTTCACTAGATAGAGTGGGTGAACATACAACATATTGTTGATTTTAAAATTATATGTGTGTGTATTTATTTAATATATGTGTAGTATTCCAGTTTTTGTTTCTTCATTTTTCTTTTGAGGACATAGTGAATTCACGTTGGAATTTGGTGTTGAAACAAATGCAGCTTCTCTAAGAAAAGAGAGTAGGCCACAATTTATTTATCCATTATAGGCATTTGGATCATTTCCAGTTTGTGGCTATAACAATATATGAATCTTCTTCTACGTGTCTTTTTTGGACATAAGCACTCAATCTCTTGGAGATATATCTAGGGGTGGAGCAGCTAAATCATAGGATAGGCATACATATTACTTTAGTAGAAACTGCTAGACAGCTTTCTAAAGTGTTTGAATCATTTTACACTCCCACCAGTAATGTATGAGGGTTCCAGTTGATCCACATCTTACCAACACCTGGTAATGTCAATTTTAATGTCTTGATAATGTCTTTTAATTTTAGCCTGTCAGTGGGTGATTTTGATCTGACAAATTTGATGGATGTGTAGACAATGAAGGTTAATGACACAGGCATCTTCCCAAAAGAACAAAACTATTTTACCTTGATTGCCTCTGTGGGGGACTGGATTGGCCACCCCAAGATATGTCTCTTTGACATGAGGATTATTGTGGGCTGGTTACTTTTAAAAACTACAGACAGGAAAGAAACTCTGAAAAGTAGAATTTACGTACCCTTTGTAAGAGACATTTACATTTGTAAAGGGAATCTCCATCTGTAAAGGTGTCTCCCTCTCTGTACCAGGAAGAAGGGGGATGACCTCATCTCTAGAAACTCATACCAATGCAGAAGGCAAGGACTTAAATCTGCATAATAACCTTACCCTTGTTTACTGTCCTTTTTTGGTAACCTCCCCTAACTGACTCCCCCAACCCCCAACATCCTCCTTTGCCTTTAGATGAAGATGATATTTAAGGTGGTGGCTTCAGCCATTTTGGTGAGTTGCTCAGTTTGCCTGAGCCTCTCCCATGTATACATGATATAAAGCTTTGTTTAATTTTCTCCTGTTATTCTGTCTCATGTGAATTTAATTTGTTTTCTGGCCAGAAGGAACCAGAGT